TTTGTCCATTCGTGATTACGATGACTACAGTTCTCTCAGTGAAGCTACAGTCATTCCTTTTCTTTGTTGATGGCTGATAGGTTCCGGTGGTTGGAGTCTCTTCAGCCCAAACAAGACCGTATTGGCCTGTCACAGCTGCTGACTCGTTCATTCATGAAAACATCCAACTGGTACGTACTATGGGATGAGTTTTTGATTGAACGATGCAGGAGCCGAGTTTGGCTATCGCTGTCTCGTCTTGGACTGAAGGGTCTCCTACTCTAAGGCCCCTTACCCCTCCTAGCCCTCAGGTCACTGTAACATAAGAAGAGCAATCTCTCACTCTCATTCACCATTACCATTGGTCCACTTGAACTACTTGTTTTTTTCTGAGTTCACTCACTCTACCTTTTTTATCCGCAAGAACCCCATATTAGCTAGAGCTAGATGCATCCAATAGACCTATATTGCTCAGCATTAACCTAAAAAAAAATGGAAAAACATGTTTGTGCAGCTAACTCGCGAAAAAGCAAAAGCAGAACTTTGTTGAGTTTCTTTTGGTGATTTGTGTATATGTTAAGTTATTGATTTGTGCAAAAAGACTTTTCTTGCTGTTCTTACATATTGTTCATGGCTATATATCTCGAAATCATCCTGAAGTAGATAGGTATTTGTTGAGTAGTTGAATCAAACAAACAACATGCTGCTTTATCAGTTGATCCAGTTCATCAAATATATATATATATATATATTGTCATAAGCAATATTGCACAATCCGATATTATGATCTGATGAGTATATAAATATACTTTCCGTTCTATCAAAGAAGAAGCTGTAAGGCTTCCCTTACTTTTTCTTTTTTTTTTTTCTCATTTGGAATTAATTTACATATTAGGAGTTCTGATAAATAGGTTTGGATAAAGAGTGCAGAGCAACAGTTCAATTTGTTCATGTCAAATAGTTTCATTTGCACCACTATGACAAGCTGATGACTCTGTGCCAATGATAGTATATATGGAACAGCTTTCTAGTAATCTTGCGTAAATTATTTTGTTGAAATTAACATCTCTCTCTCTCTCCACAGAGTCACAGATACACGTTTATTTTGCTTTGCCTTTGTGTTTACGTGTGCCTACAGAATTTTCTGTCTGGTGGATGGTTAGTGGTTAGGGTTTTGCAGAATCTCTCTCCACTTGCGTGTGTGTTGGTTTATCACTGTCCTGTTTTGATTTTCTAACCAAGTTCTATTGAAAACCAGGAAAGAAATTAAAAAAAAAAGGCGTAAACGAGAGCTTCTTTGGAAGAATCCAAGGAAACGCTATCATTTAGTTGAAGAATAGAATCTTATTTGCATTTGTTTAAACTAGCAGTAGCAATATGGTGCCGTGCACAGAGAGGACATACATAGAAACTAGGAAAGGATGCAATAAAATTTAATATATTTTTTTACTATATATATATATATTATTGGAAAATTTACACGTTTAAGAACTTGGAAGAATTGCAACCTGATGATAGTCAACTTTTTTCTATTTTTGAGCCAACGAATGTGGACATGATAGCTAGGGATAACCCATGAAAGCATTCTCATCTGATCACCATTCATAAAGAATCATTGAGAAATAGGATTGAGATATGGCTTTAAACTGGTAGCATAGTTATTTTGAAAATTACATGATGGGCTAAGACGCTCTAAGAAACACAACAAGTACTTATTTAAAAAGGGCTAAAAAAAAGTCAATATTTGTCTTCTTCTAAAATAAGTACTTAATTACTCCCATAAGGCCATGCTTGGTTTGCTGCTTTGGGTGTTTGATAATAATGGATAAGAATGAATAGCATTAGAGTGTTTGATAATAAAATTCTTGCCATAAATCTCATTCTTTTATGAATGAAAAATCAGTCCATAGCATTAAAATTGAGGTTGACTGCAACATGAAAAATAATTATTTCCCATCTTGCTCATTTTCATTCTTTACAGAACTCTATGACAGCGGTCATAAACCACTCGCCTAGGTCTACAAAACCACTGCCATAAATGCTTAATGGCAGACTACCGTGGAACAGTGGAAACTTATGTAGACGGACAAGTCATCCACCGATAAGCATCTATGTCAATGGTTTTGGAGACCTAGTCCAGTGGTTTATGATCATTGAAACAGGTTTTTTTTTTTTTAAGGATGAAAATGAGCAATATAGGGCATTTGTCAGTTTGAAAAGATTTCATTTTTTTAAGAAAAAAAACATTTGTTTCATAGCAATATTTTCTCATTCTACCCATTTTTGCCCATTCTTGTTCATTTTAGAATTTCATCTTGGGTAAGAAAGAGAATTGAACCAAACATGACCTAATCTCATTGTAAAAATTTGGATATACAGTAAGGGTCCATTTGGTTCATGGGAATAGGGGTCTAGAATCGGAATTGGAATCCCTATTCCCATTAATAGTGGAATGGCATTCTCTCATCCCTCTCTCCCTCCCTTGGGAATGAAATTCCAATCCAACTTATTTCAATTCACATTCTAATTCCTATTTGAATCAAACAAACTATGAGAATAGATCATTCAATTTGGATTTTCATTTCCAATTCTGATTCCAACAGCAAACCAAACGAACCTATGTCTTGTATTATAAATATTAATAGGGTTGTTTTCTAATGAATTAAAAATATTATTTTGAGTCTTAGTTAATGAAAAAAACCATCTTAATTGTTTCCAATAAAATCTCTATCTCCATGTGTTTCCAACAACAGCTGACAAGGCAAATCTTGTTTGTCTGGTCCTTTAAGAACCGGCTATGCCGTTATCCTTGACTCTGTCTTTTCTATGTCTATAGGCATTACCATTTAATCCTTTTCTGTACAATAAAGATCAAAGAAAAGGTGCAACTTCAAAAGCACTAGGTGCAACTAGTCAACACGAGCTGCTGCATACAATGCATTTTATTTTATTCTTCTTTCTTTAATGCCGTGAGCCCGTGACAAAAAGTGGTTTAGGCAATTTATTTGTTTTTGCCTCGAGATGTATAGAAAGATTCCATAATTTACCCTTTATGGGGACAAGTTTGGTAGACGAATCCTGTACCATAAGCGTAGCCAGAAGCTAGCTTAGAAACAGCTAAAAAGGCTTCACATGTTGTGAAAACGTAGTCATTTTAAGAGTTCGTCAATTTGAATTGGTTTTGTTACTGTGAGTTCCACAAATAAAACAAAATCAGCTGGTTTGAAAATAAATTGGCTAGATCTTAAAAGAAAATTACATTAAACAAAAAGATAGGGGTTCTGTTCTTGGGTACTATTTTTTTATTTTATTTTTAATTTCCACAACTGAAACTAAGAATATGTTCTTGAATTTCTGGTTTAATGGACATGTTTTCATTTTGTTATTTAAGTAGCATTTTATTACATGATTTTTTTTTCTTGTTACCGGTTCCAAAATAAATCAAAACCATTTAATTTGAAAACAAATTGTTTCTCAAAACAAAAATACACATGCATACATACATACATACATACATACATACAACATATTCGCTCCTACCACCTCTTGATATTTTTAAATGGGTTGAAATATGATACCGGAAAGACATCATATATATCTGAAAAACTTATGACCAAGTAATAATTGGTATCATAATATATTAACCAATCAGATGGAATTTATCAAAATTCTTGGATGGATTTTGATTGGTCAAAGCTCTAGGGTACCACGTTTTTTTTACATCATAGATTTTTCCTTTATAAATATAAAGTTCTTAAATTTTAAACCCTAAATCCCCTAAATTTAAACACTAAATTTTAGCTGAAAATTGCATTTGGTCGGACACAATTCCTCCGACCAGGTAGGAGCCAATAATTCTTGTAATAAAACGATCTTTGGATTCCGGAGACTGCGAACCCTTTGACTTGAATCCAAATTGCAAGTTAGACAGTTTAGACTGTAGTGTTCTTTCTGTAAATAACATAAAAATATAGGTCACTTCCCAAGTGGGACTCACTTTAGGTTGGTGGGTTCTATACTCCGAGATCTTGCTAGTTATGGGGGCCCTGGCAGAATCCACTTTCCAGACCCAAGATGCTTCCTGCGTTGGGCCAATTTATTAAGAGATAGGAGCTATCTTTCTCTTTGTGTTTTTCTTTATAGCCTAATCCAAGGTATGTTTAATGGGCCTGTCAGGGTCTCCATTTGTTCTAGGCATAGTTTTTAATTTCGGTTTCGGATTTGGTAGGTGAAACAAAATTAAGGAAAATTTAGGTAGTTCAGAATCTTTTCCAAAATTTCGGGATTTTGTTACATATTTTGCCCCAAATTTTGGTTTCTTGTCAAAATTGATAAAATAAATCGTGTAAATCACTATCATCATCATCTAAGCCTTGTCAGTTGTGTCAATCATCTGGGTTGGCTACATGAATCCTGTTTCTCCATTCCATTCGGTTCACTACCAAAATAAATAAATAGGGAATACCTATGATATTGAAAAAACATGATACCAGAAGAGCTTTCACCAATCAAAACATCCCTGTAAATTTTGATGAATATCACCTGATTAGTAACCTCTTTTATGATACAGGTTGTAAGTTTTTTTTGGTATCATATCTGCCCTGTATTATAGTCCAATGCAAATAAATATAACATAAAAGAATATAAAATATTAATAAAATAATAAAAAACTATAAAAAATCTCAGTTTTCATCTTTGCATCCTCTGAATGTTTTTGTTTCTTGCAACCGGATTAGGGGAAGATCTGCCATAAGGCCCATAACTTTAGAAAGATCAAAGATCCAAAGATAAATCACTAAACAGGTGCTCTTTCAGATGGGACCATCCATTGGGAGGTTCTGTTGCTTGAGTGTGTAAGACATGGCAAATTATGGGTCTCATAAAGCAACTGAGTGTCAATGACCCTAAAGGCCCAGGCTTACAAACATGTGTTTTCTTTCAGATAATCTTTGCAATATCTGCTGATATTTTGGATTTTGCATAAGCCATGCAATCAAATATTAATCAACTGATTTTAGGGAAAATTCAGACGGTATCTCTATTGGCAATTTTCTAACAAAATTAAGGGTAGAAATCTGCATTTTTCTTTTATTTTTCTCCCCCAAATAGGAAAATCAATTTTCCCATCCAAAAGTTCAACATGAAATCACATATGTTCTTTTGCTGTATTTTCTTATTTCTATATTCCGTCTTTCCTGTTCATGGTTTACAAGGATGGCATATTTGCATAGAGAAGAGTATAGAAAAGTTCAACATCGGGCAAGTTCCGAATGGTTTGAATAAACTTGTTATTGCTCGGTTCCTCAAGTAGTGGTCGACCCATCTGTGCAACTCGTGGCAAAAGCTTGGCCAGAGGGATTCCTGATGGAAGATTGCCCCCACTGAACTGGATCATAATGTCCTCCATCAGCGTGTCCACCACTGCTCTCAATGATATCTTCACTACATTCCCAAAATCAGAACTGCGACAAGATAGCACAATAAACTTTATCAATTGGTGGATATATGCATTGAATATGCAGAAATGATAATGCAGGAAGAAAAAAGTCAAAAAATGGAATTCTTTTAAAAATTCTGTGTTTTGTATTCTTAGATGGTAGAGGCATTTGGGCAAACTTTGCATGCTGTCCATGGAGTCCAATTTTATAATTTGAGTTTTCTACTCATAGTCGAGTTGAGTTTGAAATTTTATATTGATTGGTTAAGAAGATAAAAGAGTTACTGGATTTTAATGAAAGTGGTAATTCTTTCTTTTTGTGGACAAATAACAGTATGCATTTCATTCAAGAAAATCAAATGGGATCACCGGATCAGGTTGGCCCAGCTTTTTCACATACACAAGTACCTACATATATACATACATATGTACATATAAGATGCATGCATATAATACAAATATATATATATATATATATGTGGATGCATGCATGCACACAGCACTTGCTGTGCCAATGATCCAGTAGTTGAGATGGTCACTTAGCATCACCCCAAACAAGGAGGCACAGGATCAAACCCATGGAACTGTAGGCTCTCCTTCCTACAGCCAGTGGCCCTCACGTACACCCTGCTGTCCCCACCCGACTCCACCACTAACTGTGAGTCGGGATGCCCAAGGCCTCAACCAGTCTTTTAAAAACACAAGGCGCAAAAAAAGCCCAAGGAATTTTGCACCCAAGGCGCACTAGGCAAGGAGTGCATCTTTCCAAAGTAAGGCACCCAAGGTGCACCCGACTCCACTAACTGTGAGTCGGGTTGCCCAAGGCCTCAATCAGTATTTTAAAAACACAAGGCGCAAAAAAAAGCCCAAGGGGAAATTTGCACCCAAGGCACACGAGGCAAGGAGTGCATCTTTTCAAAGCAAGGCACAAAAATACAAAAACAAATGCCAAATATATATATATATATATATTAAACATAATATTAATAAAATATAAACATAACACGTAAAGTGTATTCAAATGAAAATCTAAAAATGAAATCAAACATATAAAACATTTTCAAGGATGTAAAACCCACAATTTCTTTATTTTTCCTCAATTGTGTTACTTCAAATGGCTAATGTGATGTAAAACATCTTGCATTCTTAGTTCTACGAGCCACCTTTGTACCAAGCCCCTCGAGGCAAGCCTGAACAAATCCATGTTAGTCTTAAATTCTTAATCCTTGTACAAAAAAATGTTTTATAATTTTAATTGCCTTTTAAGAAGATATTTTACTAAGATGAATGAATGAACATTAGCAAATAGGAGGTTCTCGAAGCTTCGGTGAGTGAGAAAATGTTTTAGTGTAAGGATTAAGAATTTAAGTTCCTAACATGGACTTGTTTGAACTTGTCTCGAGGGGCTTGGTTGGGGGTATGAGGGCTCCACCCCTGGCCCAGCCGTTAGGTTCATAAAAAGAACAAAAAGCACAAAAAATAAAAAAAGGCACTAGCCTGGGCTGAAGCGCAAGGCGCACCAGGCACAGCACATGCACCTTTTGAAAGTGTTGTGCCTAGGGCCTAGGTGAGGCACATACTTTAAAATGCACCTCGCCTGAGCGCCCAGGCGTGCCTTAGGCATCTTTTAAATTACTGGCCTCAACCTCAATCCAATACCAAAGTGCAGTTCTTACTTTTCAACCCTAGACCTTAACCTGACCTTCAACCAAACCCAACTTCCTTGGGTGCTAATCTGACCCAAGTTGCATACAAGGATGTTGAAATTGACCCCTGGAGCTGGGCATTTAGTGGTGCAACTTGTGTTGGCCTGAGTTAAACATTTTACACTACTTGGGGCTCGGCCTTTGGGCTGGGCCCATTCAAAATTTGGCGAAAGCCTAACCTAAGCCCACCCAAGTTGCAGCCCTATTGGCATTCCCCATACAAAACACTCTATTCACCCCCCAACTTACAACATCTTCCAAGGTATTTGCAGACCAAGGGACTACTAATCTGAATGAACAATTCAGATTATGTCCTAATATATGCACTTGTCTTCTGTTAGAAGAAAAACAGCCTTTTGAAATGAAAGGACTGTTTAAAATATTGCAGAGAATCGATTGAAAGTAGCAGAAATCAAGTTTCAAGAAGAGAGAAGAGGAAGAAGAAGGTGGTGGCAATAAGGGTTCAGAGAGAGATTTCGAAGATAATCTCCTCTTACACCCCTAATCCCATTTCATTAACTTAAACTTTAGTAATTTACAGAGAAGCCCCTAGTTGGGCAGAAAATTAAAAAACATAAGAGAAATAAAGGCCCAAATTAAGGCCCATTACAACAAAGAACATAAAAGGCGAAAAAGGACAAACATCCTATGGGCCATTTAGCCCGTCTTCTCTACACTCCCCCTCAAGCTGAGCATAGATGTCAATCATGCCAAGCTTGCCAGTATCATGCTGAAGTTTAGCCTTGGGAATGCCCTTGGTGAGGAAATCAGCTAACTGTCCTTCAGAAGTGATGAAAGGTAGACACACTTCTCTAGAAGCCACTCTTTCTCGAATGAAGTGTCTGTCAACTTCAATATGCTTGGTTCTATCATGTTGCACTGGATTGTGAGCAATGTTGATGATAGCCTGATTATCACAGTATAACATCAATGGCTTATCATGCTCAATACCCAGTTCCTCCATCAAGGACCGAAGCCACAGCAGTTCAGGAACTCCATGAGCCATGGCTCTGTATTTAGCTTTGGCTAAAGATCTGGCAACAACTAATTGTTTCTTGCTTCTCCAAGAGACAATATTACCAGCCACCAAGCTACAGTATCCAGAAGTAGATCTTCTGTCATCAATATTTCCGGCCCAATCAGCATCCATGTAGGCTTCAAGTTTCATATGACCATGCTTAGCAAATAGAATTCCCTTTCCAGGAGAACCCTTCAAGTAACACAGAATTCGCTCTACTACTGCCATGTGAGTGTCCCTGGGAGCATGCATGAACTGACTAATGCAACTGACAGCATATGCAATGTCTGGATGAGTCATGCATAGATGGAGAAGTTTCCCAAGTAACCTATAGAAGACTCCCTTATCTTTCAACAATACTCCATCTGAGGCAGAGAGTTTATGACTCATATCAATAGGAGTAGCAATTGGTCTAGCACCCATCTTCCCTGTTTCAGAGAGCAAGTCAAGTACATACTTTCGTTGAGAGATAAAGATCCCATCCTTAGATTGAGCAACTTCTATGCCAAGAAAGTATCTCAATTCCCCCAGATCTTTGATCTCAAACTCTGTATGAAGGAAATATTTAATATCATTTATCCTTGATACATCATTACCAATCACAACAATATCATCAACATACACAATCAGATAAACTGCCAAAGATCCTCTCCTCTTCACAAAGAGGGTATGATCAGACTGAGTCTATACATAACCAAAGTTAACAAGGGCAGCCCTAAACCTTTCAAACCATGCCCTAGGGGACTGTTTAAGTCCATAAAGAGAATTCTTCAGCCTATAGACTTTCCCTTTCATATTTGTTTCATACATCCCTGGAGGAAGAGACATATAGACTTCCTCATGTAACTCTCCATTCAGAAATGCATTCTTTACATCCAGCTAGTAAAGTGGCCAGTCTGAGTGTGCAATCAGAGATAACAGAACTATCACAGAAGTCATCTTGGCAACAAGAGCAAAGGTCTCCAGATAGTCAATCCCATATGTCTGTGCATAACCTTTTGCAACCAGCCTAGCCTTGTACCTTTCAATGGTGCCATCAACATGATATTTGATGGTAAAAACCCACTAAAAGCCTACTGGTTCCTTTCCTTCAGGTAAATCAACTACTTCCCAAGTGCCATTCTTGTGCAGGGCATCAGTTTTTGTTCTCAATGCATCCCTCCATTCTGGAATAGTAAGAACTTCTGACATAGACCTAGGTATTGGGTTAGAAGCAACAAAAGAAAGATAGCCAAAATATGAAGGAGAGAGCAAACTATAAGAAAGGTGTTTGGAAATGCAATGTGCAATACACTTCATTTTTCCTTTCCTGATAGCAATAGGGATATCAAGGTCTAGAAAGGGTGGTTCCAAAGGGGTTGTATCAGTACCTGTTGTCTCTTTTGTGGTTGGAAGAGCAAGAGGCTCATGTGGTGTAGGGGAAACAATCCGCTCACTTCTAGTTCTCTGCCGGTTGGTACAACCTGGGATTAAAAAGAGGACAAGGAAGTAATGGAGGAGGGAGAGGAACACTGGAATGAGAATAAGATGACTGATCCTCCCTTGACTCATTTGAAGGAGGAGTTTCAAAAGAAGACTCAACTGCGACAGGAAGGGGGAGAACAAACAACTGTGACAAATTCTCCCCCTTTGGACAATGCCTCTCGGAGAAGAATCATAAAAAGAAGAAAGCTCATCAAAGGTGACATCCATTGAGATATACTAAGTTCCCGTCTTTGGATCAAAACAACAATAACCCTTTTGTGTGGGGGAATAATCAAGGAAAATACACTTGTGTGCTTTTGATTCAAATTTATGTCTTTGGACACTTGGGATATGTACACAACAAGTGCAACCAAAGACATGGAATGCAGTAGGAAAAAGATCCTTGCCCGAATGAAAAAGACTGAAGGGAGACTTAAACCCCAAAACCCTAGATGGCATACGTTTGATTAGGTAGGTTGCAGTGAGAGCAGCATCACCCCAAAATTTTGTAGGGACATGTGAGGCAAACAGGATACTTCTTGCAACTTCAACAATATGCCGATTTTGTCTTTCAACAACTCCATTCTGTTTTGGGGTCCTAACACAGGAGCTTTGGTGAATAACCCCCAAATCAGTGAGATAACAGGTTAGGTTTTTCTCAAAATATTCTTTTGCATTGTCGGATCTGAAAATTTTAATTCTGGTATCAAACTGGGTTAGAACAAATTCATGGAATCGCCTCACAAGTCTGGGAACTTCATCACGGGACTTCATAAAAAATATCCAAGTGAATCGTGAAAAATCATCAATGAACAAGATAAAATATTTGTAGCCACC